TGGAGTGATGCGTGCGCAAACATACAGATAGACAGACAAAAAATTGTAAAAATTATTGATTTGGCTTCTGTTGATCTAATGAATACCCCCAATATTAATTTTTTCTTTAATATCTATAATGTACAGACGTCGGCCTGTTATAATTTTATTATTTACAGTATAGTTTTATTCGTATAGATTATTATTATTATTTGTACTAAAATTTTGTTTACAAAAAACTACATTTTTGGAGGTATTTTCAAATCGCTTTAGCCACGAAAATCTTAATATTAATCCGCAATATTTTGGCGGAAGTCTTAAAATATCGAGCTCTAACAGGCAAAAACATGTAAGCGACGTTTTTTCGAAATTTAATTTTTGATACAGAAAAGAAAATTTTGAAAAAAATTACACTTACCTTTTTTGGCGGTTAGGGCTCGATATAATAAACTTAAAATTCCGCAACTATTTTTGGTGATGCACCCTAATATACTTACAAAAACTTAGTTATACAATTTTTACAACTCTTAGAAGAAGAGATGGCGGTAATTTTTGCATATATTTTTTTGCATTATGATGGATAAGGGGCTAAATGCAGGAATCGTGAAATGTAAAAAATTAATTATAAATATTTGGCTGCGGAACAAACGCTCAAAATGGACGAACAGTAAAGAACAATCGACGAACTATCGATTGCAATACAAAAATTTTAATATTTATACTAATGAAGTGCTAACGTCGGTTGGGTGTCTTTTACTTGGGATCTATCTATAATTTACCATTAACGACAAATACCTTGTAATATGCCTAAGTACATACATACATATATACATATATAGTTTGTATGTATGTGCTTGTGTAAAGAACCGTTCATTCCCTGCCTGAGGTGAATATTTAAAACGGTTGTTTTTTTCCACTATCTCTTTGAGATAGTACACTCGTGATCAACGTAACTGCATACGTATGCATACCTACCTTTTCGTATACATACATAAAAGACGCATGAGCTCAGCATTTTTCCCTTTGCATGTATGCAATGTGTGGTGAATTGTCTGCGTTTGTATGCAACCATGCGCCTGCGTAAAATATGCAATGCTTGCAATTTCGTCTCTGCACACTTTTGCTAATTTCGTTTTGCATTGCAATGCGTTTATCTTATTGTCGAATATACCTGATAAGTGCATTTGTATGCGTACTTAAGTAACCACATGCATACATACATTCCTATGTACCCTGCAGGAAATTTAATTAGTTTGAATGGAATTTATAAACGACTTTATTTTCAATGATAACTAACGAATTGAAATTCTCACTTTTTTCCCCGCAATGAACTCATTCATTTAACATGGCGATGCCTTTTTGTTGCATATATTTTCAACTACTTTTAAATGAATTTCGCTTAAACAACTTTAAAGTCACTATGTTTCGTTTGAATGCGCTCTCGTTCTGCACTTCACAGATGCTTTTTCATATTTAAAAGACCCAACAAAAATTTATTATCATTTTCACATGTTGTCTCTGTTGGGACTCGAAAACAACTTTCTAAACTTCACAGATGCTTTTTCACACTTGCAAGACACAAATTGTATATTTGAGTAGAAAGAGTATCAAAATTCGAAACATTTACTTATTGCATTTGTTTTAAAGTAGTCTTTTAATTAGTTGATTTAAAAAAAAAGTCACTTGCTTCCGTCAGGGTACCTACAAACATCTGTGTTGGTATCTGGGCCTTGTTTGGCACCTCAGCAAACGACGATGGCGTAGCCGATTTGAAAATGCGTCCCTCATGGTGCAACTTTACTGCCTGTTGCAACGCTGCAGAAGTTACTTTTAGATGTATAGACACATTTACATATGAACGTATTTATGTGCACGCTAGATTTCTATTTCGAACCGGCTTGTTGGGCATTTGTTTTTGTTGCATAGCTCTTCTTATTGCTATCTGTCGCATTTCTACTATGGAGCAGAGTGTATGTATGTACATATGTATGTTTACTAGCAGCTGTTGTTTTCTTTCTTTGTTGTTGTTTTGGTTTTACCATCAAAAAAGAATATGGTGTTCATTTTGTTGTCGAAAGCGTCCAGTCGTGTCTTCCAAGCATACATATGCGCGTGTGTAACTGTTCGGTTTGTAGGTACTCCTAGTAAATAGTCACAAGCCATGATTCTTTATATGCCATTTACCGATAAGCAACCGTTAACCTTTGCGCCATGACAAATTCTTCGCCTCTAATGATTGACAGTTGTCTGGCGGGTGGACTTCACCGCTAAGTATGTTTGTGTTTTTTATTTTGCTGACCCCCAAGAATAACATGCCATCAAAATTGTCATTTTTTATTTTGTTGAAATATTGCATACATAAAAAAATTTGACCGTCAAAATAAAAATCCGCAGCAAGATGGTTTGAACGATAAGAACGAATAAATTTATTCTGATTCATGTTTTTTTCTTAATACACTTTTTTTTTGTTTCGTTGGACGTGAATGTTGGTGTTTTTATTTAAAATAAAATATTCGGTTTTGTGATCCGATGGCTTTATTGTTATTAGTGAAAGTCCATAAATAAAAAATATTTACTCCAGGGAGCAAAATCATTTGAGTTCTGACATTTTTTTATGATTAGCTCACTGAGTCTCTTCCCGGTATTACTAGTAGTAATGACATATGTACACACATATATATGTACGGGTATATAGTATATGTACGCATTTACAAGACTCGGTTATCTTTATGCTTTGAACAGTTTTGTACATTTATTGTTGATAACCTATTTAAAGTAGATTCTGCTTAACAAAGCCACTATTTTCGATTCAATCGTAAGGTCTCTAGAGAGCTGTCAAAATATTTTCTGACAAAAAAAAATATATATATATTTAAGCAAACAAGTTTTTCACGTTCATTCTCGAAGCGTTCACTACACGACATCCAAGTTTTTGAATCTTTGAAGTGCGCCCTTGTCCGAGCAGAATTCGCCGTTGCTGGAAGGCAAATGTAGGCCATTTCCAATAGGGGTTTCTACAATCTTTAGCCATCGGCTTGAACAATAAGTCTAAAAAAATTTGGTAAAATTTTTCACTCGTTTTAATTTTATTAGCGAAATACATGCTCGTGAAAAAAATCACTGCTACTAACTTTTCCTGCTCCACTAAGATAAACAGACGTTGGACTTAAATGAAAAATATGCAAATTCGACTACTAAAAACACTAAACAGCGGATTGCATTTTCCGAACTACCATATAAAACTAGCCGCCAAAATATTTTGGAAATAAGTAAACCAAAAAACGACAAGTTTATAAAAATAAAATTAAGGCATTAGAGCATCGACTACCAAATTACAAAGTCTCAAGCTCGTTGGGAAGGCCCGTAATAATCAAGTTTTGCCTGAATTCTCTAAATTTATACGTGACTTAAAATCGTGATCTGTGTGTTGGAGCAGGTTCTTGTTTTAAATTTTTTAATTTTTCTGGCTAAGTCTAGGTCTTAAAGTTTTACCATTTAAAAGCTGTTCCCAACTTGAACTTCTTAAAGCTTGAAAGTAAATCCCCGCTTTGGCTTGCTAAACAATATGTAATTAAAAAGATAAATCTATGCAACTAGTAGATACAAATTAAATTTTAATTTTAGGGGTATTCACTAATCATATTAGATAATCTGTACGTTAAAAAAATTATTGTTTCGGGAAACTTTTCCACTTAGAAATCTAATTTTATTTCATTGTAATGATTGATTTACTTAATTTATTGAGACTTTTGCATGTCTTATTAGTTAAATACAGGGTGGGCCAAATAAGACCTTCCAATATTAAACACGTATAACTTCTTTATTTTTTAATAATTGCAATTTTTTTTTTTTTGTATAGCATCCTAATTTGTGGTTCTAACATGATGGAGCGACTGCGTACACTGCTAGGCAAACTATGGCCCTGCTGCGGTAGGTAGGTATGTCTTATTTGACGCACCCTGTATTAGTAATAGTTTTTAAGTGATATGCTCTAATGAGTTGTTTTCCAAAATAACTACTGACTTATCTTTCGACTCCTTTCGAGCTTGCGGTTCTAGTGGGCGTTTACAATATCTGCTGTCTCACTACTCTCATTTGTAGCCATCTTTTGACAGATTTAAAATTGTTTATATCTTTAATAGAGACAATCAGAGCGACTATATTTTCATTTTTAACTTGATACTGAAACAGTTAAAATATTGTACAGTGAATTTTTGTAATGGAAAATTTTTAACGCTATTCGACCACAGGAGGCATGTACATATGTACGTACACATACATACATACATATGTACCAGCATGGGTGCAACGCAGTTATTGGCAGACAATATTGATGACAACTACATCACAAACTGGTGGTCACAAGGTGAGGTGGGAATCCGTGGCGGCGGAGGCGATAGTAAGCTGGCTATACTCATATACGAGTATGTATGTATTCAGCTATACTCGCAATTGTACGAAGTTCAGACTCACCTATTTATAAAGAGCGTGTCTGTCACAAGAGCGTTAAGGAAATTATATTTCTGGATATCAGTCTGTCGAGAGACGGCGATCAGTTTTTGTGGAAAAAAACAGTAACAAACGATCAGACAAAGCAAACGAATGGCAAGCAATGGTTCCGACGACTAAGCAGAAAAATCGGAAGAATCAATAAAAACAAACATAGAGAGATACGCGGTTAGTACATGTAGCGGTAGAAAGGAAGGTAGTAAATAGTAGTTGGCAGTAACCACCATGATGATGTGTTTGTTGGTAGTGATTTGCCATACGAATGCATGTATGGGTGGAAAAAAAGTGGTAAGAAAATCATGACACTTTATGGATTGGTATGAGGCTAGAAAGAGTTAACTCTATAGCACACTACCTTTTTTTTTGGAGCTGATGATATTTGACGCCGCTCTTTCAACAACCTTCCAAACAACCAGCCAGCCAGCCAACTCGCTAAACGATTCAGACGACGACTACGATTTTATGAGTTAGTATTTTGTTATTATTTTTGTTTTTTTTTTTTTACTTTTTAGACTGAAAAATGCACGTAGGTAGGTACTCGTTCGTCGAGTTTTAACTCAATTATATCACCAAAATATAGTATATGTAGGTATACTTATGTTCAATTAATTCTTGATATTTCTAAGAATCGTAACTCACCTTGAAATGTTTCTGCTGTTGCTGCTCTTGCGTTTAGTATTTTTATCCTCTTTTATTTATTTGAATTTGTAATCCACAAATATAGGAGTGCTGTAAATTATATTTTCTCTGAAAGATGAAATACAGTAAAGGTTCAGAAAACCTGTTGTCGTTAGCAAATACAAAAAAAATGTATGCAGAAGGGAAAATCACCACATAAAGGAAGAAGGAAAATAAACGTCACTAAATTGTAACTTTCTCGGTGAGAAGCCTTTTTTAAAATACCCTTTGTTTATTAACTTGTCTTTAAACTCACTTTTTCCGTCACTAAAAAATTAGAAAATACACAAAACTCCAAATGAGTCCCAATTTGGTTAAACAAAATCTTCACTTTATCTGTGTTTAAGTAGTTCGTTTTTTGAGCTGAGCAGAGTATATTTGTAGATATCTATTTATTTCTTCTGGTATAAGTATTTACCGCTTAGTCTTTCGCAAACCGCTGTACGTTTTCAAACACGTTTTTAACACCTGTTGGTGTTCGAGACAACTGAACGCTCTGGAAATTATCACTCAGCTAATAACCAACGACGACGACGACTACGACTCCAGTCCCGGTGGCCGTGTGTGACCAAGTGTGGTGAGTTGTCGCACACATGTATGTGTGTGTGTATATCTGTGCATACTTGTTTTCTCACTGGAAGCGCACACAGATCAAACACTAACACAATGGCAATTTGGACACACAGATACAAATTCCAATTTGTGAGAGTGCACTGCAGATGCGCTTGGCAGTGCAGCTGGAGAAAAACGCCCACCAATTCTATTGAATTTAGGGTGCGCGCTTGGCTTTGTGTGTGCGAAATAGAGGCATTTGGGAGTTTTTAATACAGTGGCTGCATAACTTTTACTGCTTTTCGATTGCTGACAATTTTAGTGCCAGTAGAAATTTATATCACATAAACTGCGTTCATATTTAACAGCTGGCTGAGATTTGATTAGTTAATCTTAGTTTAAACCAGTTGGTATGGTCTAGTTTGTTTTTCATAGATAATAATGAGCTGAAATGTTGACAACTACTCCAGCTGTTATTTGGTATTTAAATATTTACATACATATGTGTGTACTTTATACTGGACGAGCAATAAAAAATCCCTTGCTGTTTGCCTAAAATTATCATATTTAAGAAGTAATTTTCTATCGAGAAATAATTGAAATCAAATATTAAATTTTTTCCCCAAAAATTGTATTCTACTATAAACCTAGGCATAAAATATTTATTCTGAGAAACATTGTTGAACCTAATGCTTCACTAGTTGTATGAGTGTGTGTGTTTTAGCTTGATTGATCTTGGTCCTATAAGCATATTGAGTGCATATTAAACGCCTAAAAGTATGTGTATGCGGAAAGCACAAAGATCTTCGAGTATTGTTTTGAATGCCAGTAGGAAATATTAAACTTCTACACATGCATGTAGTATGTATATACATATAGGACCCATATATTATAGGTACATAGTACATACAGTGTCGGTAATTGCAATAGCACCCCCATTTTAAAGTGATGTTGTTTGTCATTTGTGTTTACTTATTTATTTTTAAGAATTTGTAATCAAAATACAGTTCTTTTTCTAACAAAAAATCCATATAACCTAAGTTTTAAACTTTGTAGAAAATTAAAAAAAAATTGACAAATTCGCATCAAAATTTCCTAAATTTTTCTCAGAAGTGTTAGGATTTTTTGAGTATACAGTTTTATAGCCCAGTCAATTTTGTGCAATAGTGTGCCAGTTCCAAGTGGCTAAAAATTACCGTTGATTTTTTAGATTTTTTTGTTGCATTTGCTTCCATATAATGAATAAACACAATTTATTTTTATATGTAACACATCCCCAACAGCTTTGCCAAAGAAATCTAAAAAATCGGCGGTAATTTTTACCTTACGCACGGTGTGTACATACAAAATTTTTTACTTAAAATTTACTAAAGAAATTCAGAGAAATGATTTCGATTTTTTATGCAAATATTTAAGATCCTTTCCAGAATTCCAAATTGAAACATCGCGTTGTAGAAGAAACTTTTCTGGTGGTGTGCGTTGATTTGATTATTTGGAGTCCTTTCGAGGTTTCGAATTTTTGTGGGCTTGATTTGCTACACCGATCAGTTAAATCCTTATATGGTTGGTTGATTTGAGCGGTTTGTCACCCTTGTAATCTAAGCAATTGGCAAATTTTAACCATTTTAAAACCGCAAACTCGTGCAAACCTACAGTCACTTCGTGGTAATACCGATTTCCATAGAGGGGCGACAGCACGCTGAAATATTTTGCAGGAGTGGCCGACCATGTCTTTAACCTCACTCACTCACTGGAAAAGTGTTGGACTGTCTTTTTTGAGTTCGAAATTTCGAAACCGCGGTGTAACCTGCCGAAAGGTTTGTCAATCATTTTGCATGCACACCTACGGTCCTGTGGAGACAGCCGTGAGTTTGCAGGTATTTTCCTTGTTCGTTTCTTTCATTGCCCTGGAGAGTTGTGGGCACTCTAGAGCTGTCTAGTAATCCTATGCGATCATGTAAACTCCATCACTGTTTAGCTTTGGAATGGTCAATTTCGTTAATTGTGCTTTTGATTTCCCTAAGCGAGGTGCCAATTTACTAATCTAGTTCATCCGACGCTCCTACATTTCTCTACAAGTTGCGATCTAACCAAGGAAGAGCAGGGCGCCTAAATTGCCGCCTAACTATCTGAGAAGATGTTCACCTGAGCCACCAGGTATGCCAGGTCTGCCAGGTCTTCCTTAAAGTTGTGTAAAAAAATAGCGAACTTGGCTCAGGGGGTAGACCACTTTTCGGTGGTGGTCAGGTGTTGTCTGGCTACCCCACTTAGCATTACAGAAGAGTTTGGCGTCACAACTGTATCTTCCGCTTTCTTAGCTAGCCCGCTGCTTCCTGTCATAGCCGCCCGTAAAGTCGACGGTCGGTTGTCGCTGTTGTCACGCTTTGCGGACTTGTGAAGCGGTTTATCGGACACGCAGTCCTAACTAAAATTTAATAAGGTAGCTTTATCGCATGATCGTCCGTCTATCAGAGACATAATATTCAGTGTGGTCGTCGTATTCACTCCAATTGAAGTTTTTCACTTCACTTTGGAAACCTTCACTTCGTCACTTCATTTTACTTCACTTTCCACAAATTAGAACATTCTTTGAAATAAATGATTTATTTAACCAAAATCAATAATCTTGAGCTTAACTTCTTGCTAAGTTGTAAGTATGGCAGAGTAATTTTTCTCAAAACTCTACTAAAAAGACGTCTAAGGCTAAGCGCATCGTAGGATTGAGTATAAAGCGGTGAATAAAAAAAACCAAAATAGCACAACAAAAACACTAGCGAAGAACAGGCGAACGAATCCACCAGGACATAGCTACAATGGAGAAGTGGTATGATAGGAAATTAAACCTTCACATGCTAGCTGACTCTTGCTGGGCCTTCAAAAGCGATTATAATGCGATCAACAAAAAAATATTTGCGGATCTCATTCCAGAACGCGGAAAGTGTTAACGAGACAAAAGACTGGCTAATGATTAATCTTAGATATTGATTTTTTAATATGCATTTATTTGATTGAAATATTCGTATTTGTGGGCAAACAAGTGCATGCTATTGAAGAACTAAGTTTTTTTTTTAATTTTTCACTCATTTCTAATCAACTCATCGATATGAGGTAGAATCCATCCGGCGAATTGGATTTTCATTAATAGGTGGGTTTTTTCTACGGGAAAACTACTTCCAAATTCTATTTAAAAAAAAAAAAGTTGAATATGACATTTTTGCTATTTCTTGACACTTCAACAGTTTTTTTTTTCTAAAAAACAAGACTTCAAGAAAAATTTGGTAAATGCACTTAAAATCAGCATCAAAAAGTGTATAAAGTGAGGTCGGTTTTGTTGAACCGTGTTACTTTTGTTGTGATAAAAAATAATCTATTAATCAATCAGCTGATAAATAACCCAATCGGAAACCACCACACCCCTAATTGTGCTTGAAAGGCGTTACTGCGATAATCACTTCACTTTTCCTCCAAAGTCGCTCCGAAACACTTCACTTTTAGTGTTTTTTTTTCACTTCGCTCGAAAATTAGCAAACGGCAGCACTGATTCCTGTCTTTAATCTTCAGAAAAATATTCAAATGCGTCTCTTAGAAACCTTTGCAATTCTATAAAATGTAAGTATAACGTATAAAACCGTTGTGTTTAGTATTGAAATTTCTACTGACAAAAACAACACAAGGCAATCGGGTGCTTTTTGCGCATTGCATAGTGACCTCGCGTTGCCAAATATGCATATAACTATAATATTCATTGTAATTGACAATTCGAAGTTAATATTGCGCATGCAACACTGCATATTTGAGCAAACTACTCTGAACAGATAACCAAGCAAAGCGATTACTATTTACTGATCGCGTATGACTGTTGCAGTTTATTTTACAGTTAATTAATGTGACAAATTGTCGATTCATCTTTTCAAAACTTTACATGAAACAAAGCATTATTTTGGATTAACACGAAATGACATGCATTTTTTATAGAGCATTCAGAGCTTACCAGAAAAAAAAATAAAGAAATTAGTAAATGAATAAAAACAAAGGAAAGTGTTTCGCCAAATGTGGCAAACTAGTCATTGCAACGCAAACGTTGGCGGTTGTCAACGAATGTCAGCATTACTACGATGTGTTGTAGTTTGTCTCCGAGACAGCCGAACACATAAACAATTTTCTGCACTTTTGCTTTTGAATTTCAATAAATGGTAGAGCGCTAAAAAATATTGCAAGCTTGCCAAAAAAAAAAAATTTAACAAAAATACGTAGCTTAAGTCACAATATAAGAAAGAAATAATCAAACTTCATCAAATGACAGTAACAAGTTTTTTCTCTCCCCCTTTTTACGCTTAAATATGCAGTTGCAACTGTTGCAGTTCATGCGCCCAAATTTGGTGACATTAGCCTTGTCATGTTGGTGGCTCTTCGAAATTCACAGCAGCATTATTTATATATATTGCATTGTTACTTTGACGGCGTCTATAATATTTGATTTTGTACTTTTCTCTTTATATGTATGCATTTTGGCGCACTATGTTGTCGCTCTTATATGGTCAGTAAAATTGTGGCTGCATTTTTCTTCAAGCTCATCATCTCTAAGTATTCGCTTTTGATGTCATTCGATGACTACAACATTGTGCCTTCCACATCATTGGTGCTCTGCTGTTCCCTTGTGTGTTTGGTTCTTCTTTTGATATTGTTAAAAGTGTCGATGGCGATCGATGAGATGAATTTGGTCAAATGTTTTATTGAATCAAATCAAATGGATAATCACTTGAGACGTTGCTTACTGTCTGCGCGCGTGTAAATCCACATCTCTTTGTTTCACACCAAATGTTTGTGCTGGAGATTATATGTACTGGTATTAGTGGTTAAAGAAAACGCCGAAAAAAGATTGAAGCATTAATGAGGAATGGTGAACTTGTAAGTTATAAATCTATTTGGCTCCCTTTATTTATTTAACTTTCACTAAAGGGATTGGCACCGTACGTAAAGTTATATTAGGTTAGGCTAACG